CAGTATATTGCATATTCTTAGAAGAGAGTAAAATGTTCTCTTTGCTAATTTATGAATCTGTAAACCGAGCCTTTTTTTCTCTAAAGAACAACTGGGTTACGAACGACATAGAAAACCGGCCAAGTGCGAGTCAAGAGAGACTCGCGCACGAAGGTTTCCATACCATTATCTATAAAAGCAGCAAAAATAATCATGTCTGGTTGACTGAGAGATAATGCCTGTGGCATTAAGTCCGCCTCTGTACAGTTTGTGCATAAATTATAAATAAATAAATAAATAAGCCCAACTAAAATATGTTTTCATACTGTTTTTAATATTTGTTGTTATAGCGGCAATAAAAATAAATCATTTGTTAAAATTTCAACTGCCTAACTATAACGGTTCACGGTGACAGACGGACGGATAGATAGACACCTTATAGCTCTAACCTTTGAGTACAGAACCCTAAAAACGCCACCAAGCTATTACCAAACGCAATGTACTTAGCGGATATTCATTTAACCCTAGCGGTTTTCCGGGTTTTAGCACGTTATGAGCTGTATTTTTTGCTTTGCCATTTAATTCGCTCATTCATTTGCATATCGGCGCGATCTATTTAATAGGGGAGTCCGCTAAGGCCGGCAATGCACGCCCGCATAAATTTCATCTGTTGCGGGCCTAATCATAGTACCCAGCGGTAGAGCATTAGCGAGCGCAGACGGCGCGCTGTGTGCCGCCAGTCGATAACACCGGATTATGGTAAATACTGCTCTGTGACGCGGCTTACGGGTTATTCCGTGGATTTACGGCGTTTTAAGGATTTTTCGACGCGCCCCGGCACCGATTTAACGCGACCGCGGCGTTAATCTTTATTGGAAGCGACGCCCTCGTTGTAACGTCAACTTCGGAGTACAACCGAGGTGCGTCGGTGGATTCATTAACGTCTATACCACTTATATAATTCGTGGAATGATTAAAATGATCTGGCCTCAACGGATCCCAAACATGACCAGTGATTCCTTCTTTCTTTCGTGTCGATGGCAATACCTGGGTTTGCCGTCCATACTATATTTACTAGAAGTATCTAGTAGCAGTAAGCAGTAGCTTCCACTGCTAACTTAAATCATTATGATTAATAGAAGATTTAAACATAAGCTTTGCAAACATTAAATAAAGATTGTCGCCGCTGTGGGAATCGGACCCACGTCTTCGGCATTCGCGGCCTGACGCTCTAGCCACTGAGCTAAACGGCCATTGCTATTTAGCATTTGAAGCAATGCTTGGCGCATCTATTGTTATATCCTTTCCAGCATACAAACAATTTGGAATATCGTTTTACAACGATAATTCGAACGAGAGAAGTTGCCATTCAAGCCATGAGCGGCGACAATCTTTTAGTACTTTTTCTACATGTTTTAATGTTCAATCTTAAGTGCAGAGATTAGCACTATAAAAAACTTTAAAATTTAAACATAAACGTGTTCAGAAATTAATTAAGGTACATCATCTAAACTGTCGCCTGTTATAACATTAATAAATTAATCACATTTAAGGAGTGACTGTCAAATTATAGATACATTTATAGACTGAAGAAGCCAATAGGCTGATGCATGTTAATGACGGCGTTAGTCTTTAATTTTGTGTACTGGTATTAACACAATGGATATTCCTTGTGTATCAATTTCCAGCGGTATTGTGTTGCGTTCAAAACGTACGCTGTAATAACAAAAGGGAACATCAAACAATAATAACCTGACCACAGAAACATCCACTATTTACCGGTTAGCTTATTCCGAAAACCGGTCATCCGGGCAAAAGGGGCGGCGGGATTAGGGCGACTATTCATTCGGCCGCTCTCATTCACCCGGTCTCAGTTCCCATTCACCCCGAGATTTAATAAGCGGGGGTCCCGTAAGCGGCTTAGTATCGGGAAATACCGGAAATTTGGTTGCCGAAATGAATGGAGCGATTTAAGGCGAGCGCCGTTCGGCCAATATCGTCCTCCTTATTCTTAGGCGTGTACTTTAATCCCCCGTTAACATCCAAACGCATTCAGGGGTTCTCAACGCCTCGGTTGCTTTTTTTATGTGAAAAGTTGCCAAGCGGGCAGGCGGTTCACCAGAAGTAAAGCGAATGCCGCCGCCCATCGACATGAGCTACACCCGACGGTTGCAGATGCGTTGACAACCTTTTGAAAATCGGGCTCCGCCTACCTCACGAAACGCGATAGTACTATACTTCCCCTTCACGCCGGTCTTCTGTGAGGTTATCGTACTTACCCGGACGAGCCTGCCCATTCGTGCAGCAGCCGAGGCTGCTGCATGTCCACAGTTAACGAACCAAGCTGGACTGGGATCCATCATATCAGTATACTTCATTCATATAGTTCTGACGATCTCGTATGTCAGGTTTTATTCTCCTGAAGGTACGATCACTCAGATTTCTAATGTTCTGTAGAGTTACGATCATAGATTGACAACATTTTGACTGACTCCTGACTGTTTTAAGATGGAAACCTTATCAGCATCAGTATTTCACTTGATGCAATAGCGAAACTGGCATTTGGGAACGAAGTCGTAACTGTGGGTCGGGCCGCGCAGCATCTGCCATTGCATGCAGTTCGGGGTCATCGCAGAAAGTACTGCGGTCGTATTGTAAGTGTTATACTCTTCGCTGCGTCTGGTGTGAACACTGTTGCGTGGCCCTAGCACAGATAAACCGCCAGACATACCAAACAGGTCACCTTATTACATAAATAAATTGTTATATACAAAAAAAAGACAATATTAATGAAACGTCTTTTGAAGAATGGGCAATAATTTGGTGATAGACTACCGTAAGTCAATCTGACTTCTAACAATCAGCTAACACACTGAAAACCGGTAGTTATCGTCATAACCTTGATGAGAACTACAGTGCGTGTGAAACAAGGACGCATGAAATACTTATTAAAAGTGCCGATTGTTATAAGCCTTAGCGTAAATAATCTTATCCGTATCATATGATACTGTTACTAAGTCCGAACGTTATTGCGATTTGTCGAAAATAAAACGAAAAAATTAATGGCATAATAATTTACATTTGGCAAAACCAATATAAACAAAACAACATTCAGGTTACAAAGAACACGAATCACAATATCGTAGATATTTACAACTGAAAATAAAATGTATAACAATACTCAATAATAATTATGATGTACAATTTTTTATGGATATTTATTTATTTACCTTTTAAAGTCATCTTTAAACTAGCAGCTCTAATTCATGAATAAATCAATGAACAAGATTTTTTTTATTCAGTAACTTACCACCTTTTAATAATGAATATTTTAATTAAAACGATTTTTTTATATGCGAGCTAACCGCCTTTTAATTGTGATAAGGCCACAGCTAACGGTCCGCGGTTGCTGTGATTAATTACGCAGGCCCGCTAATTGTGCGTAATTGTTGGTAAATAACGCACTAACACAACGTACAGCACAGCTGTTTCACAACCGTCTATCCAATATCGAATAAAAATTACTAACGGCAATTAACTATCTGCAAAGATGATTGATTGCAAATTAGTTGAACGAATAACAACATTATGGTTTAAATTTTTTTTTAGATTAATTTTTATTTTTAGTGCTAGTCTCTGCACTTAGAGACACTTTAAATTGTTCTTTAAAATTATAGTTTAAGGCGAAATTTTTTTATGTGAAAGTTTGGCGGTTTAGCAATCAGTTCACCTGATGCTAGGTGACTATCGCCTTATACAGGGACATTTTTTGAGAAGTGCCCAAATTTACACAAGAGGTTCGGACTCGGTAGTATAATCGTTTATTAAAATAAAAAACAAAGTTTTTTTTTCCAAAAAACAGAACGTGTTGACAATGCGGTAGTCATTCATAAATACCTAAATTTCACCGTGCACGAACTTGTGTGCGTGTTAGTAATGATCGCACGTAAAATAAATGAATTGCGTATAAATCACGAAGTTTTTGAGATAAGTTCAATGAATGTAATTAATTACTTAAGAGTAATTTTAAATATTTATCATTTTATATAACATTATTTATGAATAGAATTTAATAAAAAAAAATAGATAAACTTAGAAAAGCCAACCTGTAAAGATATCTAAAAATCCTGAGGGCTTGCAGATGCGTTGCGGTTAATTTTGAACAGTAAGCCGTTTACCTCCATTACCAGGCGAAGCACAAAATGTGTAACTAAACAGAAAACTGTATATACAGAATGATTTTTGAGACGAAAAGTATGTACTACTTTGACATAACGTTAATTTAGCATTCCATAATTCAAAAGAAATATTAATATTTTATTTTGACAAGAAATAACCAGAAAAATATCAATTCAAACATTGTTTGTTTATCCCATTAAAAGTGGTCACCCTATTGATAAGCGGTTTAGTAATTATGCGTTCAGCGAAAAGTTTTAGTGCTCGTCAATAGGTTATTGTATGGAAACGGTAAGGCAGGAATTTCTAAGTGTCCATTATATTTGAAGAAATTAAAAATAATCTTTGAAAAAAAAAATAAGTCACAATTACGTACCAGATCCAGATTTAGAATCAAATTCTGCATATATGTTCATCGTGTATAAAATTACCCTGTGTAAATATAAATAAATTTTAAGTCTTTTCAATGAATTTTTCTAGTCAATTTTTTTAATTTCTAGTCCCAAACTAAGCAACGCCTGTACTAAAGCTACTAGATAACTGATAAACATACTTAAAAATAATTTTCTTTCGTAAATAAATACATATTATAATATAGACACCCAGACACTGGAAAAACATGTTCATCAACAATATTTTGCCAGTAGTGGGGATCGAACCCACACCCTCTGGCGCAGAAGGCAGGTACACAGCCCACTACGCCAATCGGATCGTTCAAACTCTTCTACTTCACGCTGGTCTTCTGTGAGGCCGTTAACATCCGCGTCATTTACCACGTCAATTACCATCATTTGAAATGCTACCATTACCCATACAGTTAATAACTAAAAGACTAGTATTTATCACCAAGATTTTCTTCTATATTTGCTATAAATCGATCGCCAGAATTTAAGCGTCTCGCTTTGACGCAGAGGCGCTGTGCTCAACTCCTCATCAATGAGTAAGGCGTGAGGATTTGTGACGTTAGTAGGGTGCCATTTCATCGGCAGCAGCTCTGTCAGCTCCGGAGTTGGATCCCTGAAAAGTTTTTTTTTTTAGATTAAAATCGGTATTACCAAATTGGACACTGACCGCTTTGATACGTGAGTTTCACCTTTGGTTGTTTGACCGTTTTCGCAGTATTTTGTCCAATCCCCATAAGACTTTAATTAAACTTTAATTAAATTAAAGTTAAATTAATTACAGTGAGTTTTGTTCAATAGTTCACACGTTTTTACGTTATAGTACAAGGCCCGCCATAAACCACAATTTTATATATAAACTTATACAATCGTACGTAATGTGTATTATTCTTAATACTTATAATAATATTTAATGTAAAATTTTCATTCTGTTTTATTCTATTTAAAACAAATGATGATTTCCGCAGAAACAGAAACGCGAAAGAACTAAGCGTAAAACTCATGAATTAGCTACCATAAAAAGTATACGGTAGACACGAAGAGCGAGATTTTTGTTCAAGATTTTTATCCCACCTAGGTGAGTTCGACACATTCTACACACTAACTCGTCACCTCTTCTTTGATAAACTAATCCCCGTTTTCTTTACGCTAACGAAAATATGATAATAATGTATTTATTGTGTACCACCAAATATTTCTGAATTCTTACCCAAATTTTGCGAAGTTTGTCCACAATGTAGTCATCGTATCGATCATTCTGTTCTCGAATAATGAGGGTACTACGCCCTGGTTGAACAAATAGAATAGTTCGTCGGCATGAGTCGCTCCCGGCGCACTCTTGTAAGGTCCGCCGGATAGATATTTAGCTAGATTTCTGCGCCCGTCATAATTGAATATATAACTGTAAACCGGCTTGTCGTTCGTTTTCAGAACATTCTCCGTCTCTTCTATGACGGAGTGGCTAAAGAAGGCTTCTCCTTGAAACTTAGATAACTCCAGTAAAGTGTCTTTGGAGATTCTCTTGTCTCCGAAATAGAGCTTCTGCAGTCTCGACGCGACATCGATCCTCTCCTCCTGCGTTGGAAACGTAAGATCTTTGGGCAGAGACTTCTCGATGTCAATCTTCGATATGGTCGTATCGTTCTCCATCGACGAGAACAGATAGCCCTCCTGCGTGTTGAAACCGATAATCATTGGCACTTTGTTGTAGTCACCGTTAGTGTAAATGTTGTGGGGGATATCCGTCAAGAATGGTTCGACGCCGTCTATACGTTGCTCTGCGCAGGGCACGTAGAGGCACTCGGATAGTATCACGTTGCCTTCTTTCCTCGGGACCCTGGTGACGATGAGTTCCGCATCAGATTTGCCCATGAAAGTTTCGTAAAGCTCCTTAGCTTCCTCTGCTTTTTCGCCCATTGCTTTTGCCAGCAAACTTGCCATGTATACTGGCCTGTACTGTAACGCCCAAGGGGAAAGGGCCGAGCCGCTCTGCATGATTGCCTTATGGAAGTAGCCTCTGGACATCCTCGATAGTACGTGGAAAGAGACCGATGCAGCGCCGGCGCTCTCACCGAATATCGTAACATTGTCCGAATCACCACCGAACGCCCTTATATTCCTCCGCACCCACTTCAGAGCAGCCACTTGGTCTTTAAGACCTGCATTACCAGGCGCTTCTCTTAAACCGAGACACGCAAAACCTTGGATGTTTAGTCTGTAATTAATCGTAACTAATATAACACCTTTAGTCACTAAACTCTGTGGCCCATACAGATGTCTAGAGCTTGAGCCATCGTAGAAGCCACCGCCGTGTATGAACACCATGACCGGCAACTTTGATGAGGAATCCGCGTCGATTGGCGTAAAGACATTCAATATCAGACAATTCTCTTGTCCCATTACGAATGTTTTTCCCTGCCTCTGAGGGCATCGGATGTTTTCGTTCACCGCCTCATAAACTCCATCCCACGAGGGTTCAGGATCGGCGGCCTGTGGAGGCAAAGAACTTTATGGCCGAACAAGAGTATATACTATTTTCGGTAATCTTAACAGTAAAGAATCTTATGAGGGATGCCTGCATTATAGACGAAAAGTTTATTCTGTATTTTTTTATGTGAAAAGTTGCCAAGCGAGCAGGCGGTTCACCTGATGTTAAGTGAATACCGCCGCCCATGACCATCCGCTACAAACGATGGCCGTCGACTGTGCAAATAGCTAATCGGTGACTAGGAGCGGTGTGAATCGCCCCGGAACGCGGGTGTACCTTGTGTACGCGTTGTGTTGGTCTCGCCGTGCACGGAGGCGAGGGCGAACTAGTGTGTTTGTTGTTGCACTAACTGTGGGTGTAGTGTTTTCCGGCGGGACCCCCAGCGGTGGGGTACATGTGTATATGTGAGCCGTCATATCTCAGTGAATGTGCGCTCAATGTTAAATTAATGTATTCAAGCAACCTAACTTAAATTCCCTTAACCACCAATGTAATTTTTAAACGCAATTTTTACTGATGTAACAAATGCCCATCGGTGAAGGAAAACCTGGATATTTTCGAAACAATAATAAAAAAATATTTAAATGGTAATGAGGTCCCACTGCTGCGCCGAGGCCCTTTGACCCAGCACTGGGACATATATAGACTGTCACTCCATTTTACCGATAATTCAAAATACTAATGTCTCTTTGATACAGATATTTGGTAAAAATTGGTATTAACGTTAAATCAATGGTTTTAAAACACGTTGGAAACAGTAGAATTAGTGGGAAAAACGAACGTAAGAACGTAAAGTTTAAAAAAAGTTTTAGTACGTCATTAAGGTCAATATTTTTATGGAAAAATACATATCAAGTAATATGAAGTCTTGATAATTGGCATATCTCTTAAGTCATTGTAAGTGTTACAAAAAGTGACAAAAAATAACCACAAATTACAACCGGACCGACTTCTTCAAAGTCATATAACATAATAGCATAACCAAGTTATTATTATGAATATCCCGTCATAATTCCATGATCAAAGTGGTAACGATTAGTTTTTCAATGAATAAGTTCGAGTACCACAATGTCTGATGGAAAATGTATAAACCACAAATGGACATGGGTGGTCTGGTGGAAAATTAATGATAAAATGGACCGCTGAAAACCTCCACACACACACACACACACACACACACACACACACGCGCACGCACGCACGCACACACACGCACGCACACGCACACTAGTGGTTGTGTGGATATGTGTGCACTTTAGCTTTTATTTCATTAAGATTTTAATCCGAACTTTGTTCATTACATTTGTTTTATTAAACTATTACATTTGCCTTTTAATATTACTAGCATATAATTTTCTACATTTCAATACGTAATGTGACTACCGGACAAACAAGACAGGGGGTATTAGCCAAGGTGGAAAACTGACTGCCGCTTAGGTGACAGGATTAAGGAAGCTCACCTGGAACCGCTTAGCCGGATGGACGGTGGCGTAAGGGATGGCTAGGTAGAGGTGGTGCGTGCCGTCACTCGCCACCGAGCCCCTCAGCAGCCCACCGCTCACGCGCACCGTCCGCGTCGGCTGGCGAACTAGGCCTGCCGCCCACAGCGACCACAGCACCACCGAATCCAGCCACTTCATCGCCACTCACTTGAGCATACCCCTCGTCAAACAGACTAACTGACCATCCCAGTGGTAAACATCACATTTGTAGAAATAAGTCAGTTAGTGCCGTCTCGTTATGAAGGCAACGGAGGCGCATACAAGGACGCCAATATATCGCCTAAATGTCTGAAAAAATATTTATAATCTGCTACATAAATTAAATTTCAGTTGAGTTTTTTTATGACCACTGTGACAGTTATAAATTCGTACCACGGATAGCAACTTTATAATTTATCCAACACTGAGAAGCCTTGACACTAGCATAGGAGATATGGTAATGGGGGAACGAACGGTACACGTGTTGTGCACGGCTTCCACGCGATAACTGAGCCAGACGCGTGGTCCCAAGGCGACGTTAACTATCTGATCGCCCTATCAGATAACTATCCGCGCAATCACCACCGTCGCTGACGCATTAACAAAGCAGAGTCCAGATGGAAATCAACAATTACTCAACACCGAACCAGAGCGAAGGAATACTCAACAAACCTTTTCGCCATCTAGCGGTGAATGGCGCAATTAAATATGTAAACGTAATACTAGCACTGTTCGTTTCGATTTGTGAACTTTGTCCGGGCGACTGAACTATCGACCTCATTCGTTTCGCTTAAATCACTTGCTGTTTACTTGGTTACGATTTTTACGTTCACGTGCGTCGTTGTTTGAACGTGAACAAGCCACGAAGCGATTCTGATACGGAATGGTGGGGATTCTAATATCTTGATATGTCACAACTCGTAAGAAGTTAGCAAGCGAGCTTGATTTCACCTGATGTTAAGTGATAACCGCCGCCCATGGAAATTTGCAAGACATAATCTAGTGTCAATTTCAATAAAGTGGGCCCCGGTTACCTTACACAACAGACGAAATGTAGAAGTATATACCTTTCACTTCACGCCGATCTGCTCGTGGTACTTCCCCGGACGTACCTGCCCATTTGTGCAACAGCGATGTGCATCCCTACCACACGTAAGAATAAACCGGTGTGTTGCAAGTATTTTACAGAGGAACTCCTTTTTACGTCATAAGTACGCTTAAACTTTTTGGATAAACGACGGCTCTACTGCTGCCATTTCTTTTTTTATTTTATTTTGGATTTTAAGTTACTGAATACTTTTGATTTCCTGCAAAAGTACTTGTAATGCACAAAAACGATGATAATTATGATGATGATTTGTAGATGAACTGGACACTTTTCATTCGGTGGCAATCTGTTCGCGACCCACTTTATCGTGAATAATAAAATATATATATATATATATATATAATAGCCTCACGGTTTGGCTGTTAAACTGTTTTATATTCTCTTCAAAACATGCATTTCTCCAACGCTACTTAATTTCATTGCTGTTATACTCATCGTCTCCGCGCAGAGAGCATCGATTAACTAAGAACAGAAAAGAACAGAACAGAATTGTTCTGGACCTGTGTGTAGTCCAGAGTTGTTAGTATTTGTTACTCCATCATTTCATGATAATGAAGTCCCTCTAATCATGTGACTCGAACTACTTGGTCATGTGGACTTTACCCATTGCGGAGGCCGATTCAAATATCACAAAGTTTTTGTAACAAACACAAATTATGTATAATATTAGTAATATTACCATTAGGACAAAGAATTAAAAAAAATAAGATACAGCTAAATCGGTGGAAAATTGGCACTAGCCATCACTAGGGCCTAAAATAAGGTTCGAGCAATAAATATGTTAATATATTCATGCAAATAAAGATGATTCTGTATAATTGTTTGTCACGAGAGATTATTTAGCGATTCATTCGACCTTCCTATTGTTCTTAGAATAACTCATCTCATAATACAAAAAACCTTTAGGGCCGAATACTGAAACGTTACTTAAATATTTAAAGGCGTTTAATATTTAAACGTTTCAATATTCGGCCTTCAGTGTTTTAAAGCTCCTTAGTTTTGACGACTTGATATCAAAATAACGCAGTATGTATCAATAGAGATATTTAATTAACTTATATTTATTAGTGTTAGCTATACTTTGTTTTATCGAGCTAAGAAGGTAGAAATATAAATACTTTTACCAAATCACCGTAGTTTCACTTTGCACAACAATAACACTGGTATAATTACTTATTTTATCACTTTAATATCACTAATGAAACACCACTCTAACGATTTTAATTTGTGATACCGATTGGACAGCACTATCGTGTATACTTCTGGTTTGACAGCCAAAGAAGAAGACGAAGACGACGAAGACCATCAAATGCTTCTTGCAGCTTCATTTATAACTCACAGAATGACACTTCTTTTAGTATTGCCAACAAACTAAAGGAATGACTTCCTTTAGTGTTGCCAACATTAGCAACAGATATGAGGGAAAATATTCGAAATTGTGTTGTATTACCGAAATCATAATTTACGGTCAGAAGTAAAACAAAATGCGTCTTGGGTAACTACAGAGCATGACCGGGTGGCAAAAATAATCATAAACCTGATTCCACGTAACATCAACTCGCTTGTTTTTAGGGTTCCTTACCCAAAGGGTAAAACGGGACCCTATTACTAAGTATGTCTGTCCATCTGTCGCTAGGCTGTATCTCATAAGCCGTGATAGTTAAGACAGTTGAATTTCACCGGTGAATCAAACGAAAGTCGTGTCGTGTTTAGGATTTCGTACCCAAAGGGTAAAACGGGACCCTATCACTATGATTCCGCTGTTTGTCTGTATCAGACATACAGACAAACAGCGGACTCTTTTTTCTGTCCGTCCGTCACCAGGCTGGATCTCGTGAACCGTGACTGTTAGACATTTGAAATGTTCACAGACGATGTATTTCTGTCGCCGCTATAACAACAAATAAATAGAAGTAAAAAACAGAATAAAACCATATTTAAGTGGGGCTTCCATACAACAGACATGATTTTTTTGCCGTGTACGCCAAGTACGGAACTTTTCGCACTCGCACTTGGCCAGTTTTTTTGCCTCTTGCAAGAGGTTATGAGGGACATGTATACGTAAGAAACAATAAGTAATGCTATTAGCCTTAAAAAGAGGACGAATTGAATAAGAAACTGTTCAAACGAATTGATAGCTCCGTGGCGCAGTTGCCAAAGCACTGGCTTCGGCGGCGGCGGTCTGGGTTCGATTCCCTCACGGACATCTGTTTGTGGGACCAACAGATATTTTTTTCATATCTGGGTGTTTGTCTACGTGAAATTTATGGTTGTAAAAAGACCTTTCAACAGTATAACGTTAACAATACCGTAACGGCAATGTATATAACAGAAAAATTAATAATACTAAGCTTATTCCGTTATTTTTTATAATGCTGTATATATTAATTATATTTTACATTAAATCAACCCATAGCATTTCACTCTGTATCAAAGAACTCCTGGATGAAGAAGAACATAGTGAAGAAAGATGTTGTTGTCGAAAGAAAGATGTTGGATCTCTAAAACAAGATCAGACTTAACTAATATTATAAAAAATGTAATTAAAGGAGAATTTTAAATTGTAAATTTATGTAGACAAAGGAACAAACAGCTTGGCGCTGCGGGATTAGAACCTCCGTCTTCTGGTTTCGGGCTTTGATTTTAATGGAGAATTTTAAAAAGTCGTTAAAAATTTAAAATTTATAATGACGATGGCTTAAAATTTCAATCACCAAATGATCCAATAACAAATAATTCATTACAGTTTTTAATATTGTACACCTAATTGGCGAAACAATCATTTATTCCTTATAGTTACAATAAAGAATTGTCCCCTTATACCGCTTGCGTTAGGAATCCTAAAAGGATTGTTTGTATTTAAAAAAAAAAGAAATTCTAATATACGCGAACGAATGAGTTAGGACACACTTAACAGTGTTAAAGAAAAAAAAGAAATTCTATTATAGAGGATCGAATGAATTAGTACTCACTTAACAGTATTAAAACCATCATAATTAAGAGCGCAAAGCCAAAACTGAACTGGAAACAAACCAGTTTAACGTTATACGGTTCGCCGCCAAGCAGCCTGCCATAACGGTAGCCACTAGTAGACCGTTTGCATCCCCTCCATAGCTCTCCTCGACCAACGTTACTTGGTCAATCCGAATGAACAAATAACGATTCTAAGGCTGTCCAATTTAAGGAGAATTTCAACTTAACTATTCTACGAGTATACTATCAGTGGTGAAGGAAAACATCGTGAGGAAACCTGCACATTTTCGAAATAATAACAAAAAAGAAATGTCGAAGATATGTGAAGTCCGCCAATCCGCGGTGTGGTCGCGTAGTGGACAAGCCCTGACCCACTGTACAGAGAAGGCCCTAGCCCAGCAGTGGGACATGTATTTGCTATTGCTTTAATTTACTTTATTAACAAAAACAAAAACAACTTCAAATAACTCAGTCAACATTTTCCATTTAATTTTGCGGAGTTTCCTTCTAAGTCAAAGGTTAAATATAAATGAATCGTATATAATGGGACCAAATAAGAGCCGAAGAACCGAACCAAATGCATAAAAAATATGACAAATTTAAATTTTTTCTTAGGTAACAAATTATAAAAAATCTGTACTTATGTACGCGCGTAAGAAGTTTAACTTCTTTAACGTAAAGAAATTAAATGCCATTGATAACGGCTTACTTAAAGTACTTATTAGTAAACGTCAAAGATATTCAGATAACTTATTCAAAACCATCAATCGGAATAAAATCGGTCTAGCCTACAAACTATGGTTCATGGGAATATTGAGTTTAAATTGTAAGAAGAAGAGATTCAACATGTTTATTACCAGCTAATTATAAAACGTAAAGAATACATCATTATGTTTAAATTAATTTCGGTTTTAACGCGTTTCATTTCAATTTTAAATTCGCGACATTCCAGACATTCAAACGTCTTTGCTTTGTCAAGTTGTTTAGTTATAAATATACATATCAATAATCCTTCCACGCGAATTAAACTCAATTTACCCAAGGTATACTTACCCTCATCAATATGAAGGCATGCTACATCAGTTAATCATAAGGATATTAATTGTAATAAAGTAAATCATAAACACACTGTTTATCAAGTAATTGGCTTCGGCGTCGGGGGTCGTGGGTTCGATACCCACACGGGACAACTATTTCTGAGACCCACGGATAGTTGTTTAGCATCTGGTCCTTACAACACGTAATAATGTTATCCCAAAGTAAGGGCAATGGTTTTAAAATAAAAGAAAAAAAATATATCCTTAAGTTCATTACTTTAAGAGCAATTATGCTTCTAGAGCTGAAACCACATTCGGCAGTTTTAATCAGACCTCGCAGTTTCCTAAGTTAATAAGTTGTTAAGTAATTCGGTTAAGGTTAGAGAGGGGATTACTTACCATATGCATACTTGTACATCTTAATACAACGTAGATAGTACTTACGGACAGGACTTTCTTTGCGTTTGAATCGTGTTTACCGAATTTGACACCTTATTGCAGTGCTTTAAGGTCGATTTCAAGTTGATCGTAAGCGATAGACACTCGATTTACTATTGAGTGGGATGCGTACCGCTGCTAATCGCGTTGGCACACATTTCTACAAACGACAGCGTTCACTTTTAAAATCCAACGCTGTACGAATATGTACTCTAAGTCGACGCAATAAGGTCCATTGACGTCTTGAGATGATATATATGTAAATCAGACGAGTTGTAAGTTTGTGTGCACAGTCTGTGTTGCCATTCAGCGCGTCGGCACCAGACGTGTTTATTTCCTTAAAGCGGTGTTTTAGCGTTTCACTCGGAATTTTTTAATATATTCAACAGTGCTTGTAAAATAGAAAGTTCGTAATTTTTTTTTGTTTGACGTTATACAAAGACAATTAGTGTAGCGCTATGGATTTGCTTACCTGTATGTGAACGGATAAAACAAGTGCTTTAAGTATATAAACTTTGTATCGCTCGAGCTCGAAACGTTTCCCGCTATACTATAAAAGGTAAGTCATCAATTCGTCATGTTTTCTGCAAGTTTTGGGACGTTGTAACCGAATTTTCTGGTGACCAATTAATAACACCAGATTGACTATCAGACATACTACTCTTTACTATCAGATATACTTATCGCTTAATGGCAATAAAACCACTGATGACTCAGAACCTCTGATTAGTTCAGAGATTACGGAGGCTATGTTATACAACGTTCGACAGTTTCATCGGCGTATTCATTACTAAATCTCCTTTCGCTGGAACAAAATATCAGAATGGTTTTATTGGGTTCCGTTCCGTAACGTTATCTTCATCAATGATTATATTTTACGGATTATTATCCTATTAATATAACTGCCAGTCTCATTTTTGGTATCAATTCTTTAAAACTTCGTTATTAATTTGTCTTAATTCAACGCTATAAATTCGGTAAAAGTAGTTTCGTTCAACAATGTTTTGGTGTAAATATTTAAAAAAAACTTTCATCAACATCTAAAGAGAGTGCATTGTCCGTCGTTATAGTCATAACATCATACGCACTGAACTGAATAGTCACGAGAACACGTAAGATGCTTTAGACCTTATGGACCCCTGTACAAGAACCTTAAATATAATAAAAAGATGAGTTGATTTACTGTTGAATACCTGTCTATGTAGCTCGTGAATATAGCCGTGATAGCTCAGTGTCCGGGCGCTCGCCTTTAATTCAAATTAGAGCGAGCACCCTGAGTTCGATCCCCGGTGCCTTATCACTTGTCACTTATCACTTGCTCATCGGTTAAAGAAAACATCGTGAGAGAACCTGCATATTTTCGAGTGGGGCCACGTGGCGGACTATGTCTATGATAGCCTTTGTTTAGATGAGGTCTTTGCCCAGCAGTGGGGATTGTACAGGCTGTTACTTTACTTTACTTAATCAAGTTCGATGACTCCGCGGCGCAGTTGGGTTCGATTCCCACACGGGACAACTGTCTGTGTGACTCACAAATAGTTCTTTCGCATCTGGGTGTTTGTCCGCGTGAAATTTATGTTTGTGAAACGTCCTTACAACACGGGATAATGATATCGTAAAGTAAGGGCAATGTTTTAAAAAAAATTAAGTACACAAACGTGACTGCGTTTAAAATAAATGCATATATACTTGTATTTTCAGTCTGTACAGAAGAAAAAGAGGATAAAGCCATTCACATTGGAGGATGCGCGCTAAACGATGGATTGTTCTATGGTCCTTATGGGCAATGAGGCTGGTGAGGCAGCCAACGGTCACCGTACAAGTCAGGAGCGGGCTCCTGAGAGGCAGTATAGCGCCTGACGGTACCCATGCCAGTTACTTGGGGGTCCCCTATGCGACGGTCGATAGGAGATTCCAGGTACCATTATGCCTTCTCTACCCTACATGTTTTTTATGGAACGCGAACAAGTGCGTCACCTCTTGGTAGTTGAACACTCTCCTATGGACACTTGCGGCACCGGAGGAATTACAACTGCTTTGCCGGCCTCCAAGGTAGGAGTTACAATGTAAGCGTCTGCAAGGCAAGCGTAGAGATAGGTTTTTACTGAGCCAGCGCGCTTACCATCAAAGGCTGCATCGCCACTTACCATCAGGTGGGATGGCAGTCAAATGCTGGCTAATTTTAAATTTAAAAAAAGTTTGCTCTCTTCTTTAAGGTCCCTAAGACGTGTTGGTCCGGAAATATTATATCCGGAAATGTCATATCCACCCTATTTATTTTGTTAGAGCGATTCTTAGCCACATATGATATACCAACGTCTAACGAGGGTATATCATTATGTATTACAATATAATCTGTATGTTGCCGTCATTGCAGGGTTAAATTAATTTAGTAGTTTTTCTAATTTTTGTCTTGCATGAACTGAAACCATTTTAACAAGATACCGAAACACTTCGGATGCTTTCTAAATATTTCTTTTCTTATTTCCAGGCATCTAAACCGGTGAAGGAGTGGAATGGCGTCCGAGATGCTTACGATGAACATATAAGATGTATACAAAGATTTACCCCGACCACCATTTTGGGGAGAGAAGAAGACTGCCTAACCCTGAATATCTACACTCCCGTACACCCGTCACCACAGCAGCAGCTACGCCCGGTCATGGTTTACATCCACGGAGGCGGTTTCAGGGACGGATCTGGGTCGCCGTTCCTATACGGCCCCGAATATCTGGTTAAGCACGGGGTCATCCTTGTGACGCTAAACTATAGATTGGAAATAATCGGGTTCCTCTGTTTGGGAATCAAGGAAGCTCCAGGTAACGCAGGCTTGAAGGACCAAGTGCAGGCTTTAAAGTGGGTTAGAGACAACATCAGAGCTTTCGGCGGGGATCCAGACTCAATAACGTTGTTCGGCGAGAGCGCCGGATCGGCGTCCGTTTTCTATCACTTGCTGTCGCCGATGTCGAAGGGCCTGTTCCATAGGGCGATAATGCAGAGCGGCTCCGCCATGTCTCCGTGGAGTTTCCAGTTCGAACCCCTGGAAACGGCCAGTGCGTTGGCGCGACAACTAGGATTCGAGACTCACGAACCGTACGAGTTGTACCGCATTTTCACGAACACTTCTGCCCAGAAGTTGCTCAGTACTCGTGTCCCTCGGACCCTCGGTGACCTGGTGCTGTCAGAGAATATATTCGTGCCGTGCGTGGAGAAAGAAATAGCAGGTGAGGATCAATTTCTCACAGACTTTCCGTACTATTTATTTTCTCAAGGAAGTTATAGTAAGGTACCTATGATCGTCGGATACAATAATGCGGAGGGATATATGTTCGCTGGCAAAGAGAACGAGACGACGCTTTCAAATATGAACTTCCACAATTCACTGCCAAGGGATTTGAGTTTCCCTTCCACAGAAGAAAGAAGAAGAGTTGCAAAGAAGTTTGAAGAGATCTACATGGGCGACGAGAAGATTTCTAAGAAAACTATTTTGAAATTCGCAAAGTACGAAGGTGATTCGGGGATTACCTACCCAGTGACCGCGACAATAGATATGCTATTGAGGAATTCTACCTACCCCATATATACATACAGATTCAGTTACGACGGTTGGATGAATATCGTAAAACAGTTGTACGGATTTCGGGGGGCACCGGGCGCAACTCACGCCGACGAACTGTTCTATATATTCAAGCTTAAACTGAATTTGGTACAGTCTCTCCTGGAATTGGATATGGTCGAGAGGATGAGTACCATGTGGACCAATTTTGCGAAATTCGGGTGAGTTTGATCAGGCCAATTCTTAAAACGATTTCCTTTTAAACCCTAGAAAATAATGGTCTCCAGAATTTGCTGAGTTTTAAGTAAAACTTGCTAAATTTACTTCCTAAACTTCTAAACTAAACTAAAGTCTCATTTAACTTGCCCCGTGATTGGACTGTTAGGTACTGTTTATCAATGTCATAAGCAAGAGAGTGATTTTTGCTTACGAGTAGACCAAAAACTATGTCAAATTTAATACCCAATCCAATGGGCAACCGTCGTCTTTTTTTTTTATGTGAAAAGTTGCCAAACGAGCAGACGGTTCACCTGATGGTAAGTGAATACCGCCGCCCATGGACATCTGCTACACCCGAGGTTTACAGATGTGTTGACAACCTTTAGAAAATTGGGCTCCGGCTACCTCACTCACCAGACGAAGCGCGAAAGTATTTGTCATACTTCCACTTTACGCTGGTCTTCTGTGAGGTCGTGGTACTAACCCGGACGGACCCCATTCGTGCAACAGCCGAGGCTGCTGCGTGGCTTTACCACCGTCTTACATTGGTACCATTAACTAAAGAACAAATGATATCATTTTATGAATTTTATCTGTGCTTCGTATATATCGTGTGCTTTTAAATTTAACAACTAACTCTGCAATGGAATCGTTGGTTAATCAATTATTTATTACATTACACGGCTTCGGATGTAGTATGAAAGACCAGGCGCGTCCGGGAAAGTACCACAGCCTCACAGACCTCAGAAGACCGGCGTGAAGTAGAACTATACTAGAAACAAAGGAATCATTTATTCGCGTAAAACTTTCCTTACAAACCGCTCACTCCAAATTAGCAAATACAGAAAATTTAGCACGGCACATAACATTATAATATACTCTTAGCTTTTTCATTGTTATTATCCAGAGCACTCCCATTTTGTCTTCTCCCTAATTAACTTAATATATCCACGTTCCAGAGACCCGACGCCGGCTGCAGAGAGATTACTGTCAACAAAATGGCCGCCGACCCGCAGGAAAGACCCGCGCATTCTCGTCATAGATAAAAAACACAAAACGGCGCCACTGTGGGACGGCGAAACTTTATTGTTTTGGAACGAAACGTACTCCAAATACAGGCGGAAAAGTTAACACCATCCGCAAATTCGAAACGGGGCCCCAGTCGAATTTAATAATGGGATTAAGCAACGAAATATTACGACGAAGACGCTGCAACGTTCCCAAGAAAGTTTGCGCATTAAAATGAGCCAGACGATTTGAAACAATTATTTGCCTGCGCGAGCTCGTCGACGCTGATAAATTGCATTTTTGGATTAACTCGGCTTAATTAATAGACACATTTTGTTGGAGACTGATAATTTGTTCATTGTAACAAAGCGAGACGGTCGTATATAGTTTATTCGATATTATTGTCACTTAGAGAGCTACATTAAACTAAACTTATTTCATATCTGATATCACGCCCATCCCATATAAATGAAAAATAACCTATCAATACGTAATAATGTCTGAGATGGGCAATTGTTTTAATTAGTTTTTCAGACAAAGTTCATCCTATCGCTTGCACGGTCCTATGCGTTTGTATGAATGCGAGATATAGAGCAACAGGTATATCAAATTACGTTATATTTAAAGAAGATACTACTCTACGCGTTATATAACTAGAACCTCTTTCTTTTTATAATTGAATATATCAAAATTTATATGCAATACTATATTCACTTATTACCTCCTTAACACAATACCTTCAAGAAACCTATATTCTCGTCGTTTCATTTTTCATCTCTCCGATGCAACAGCACCAATCTAAAGTTAACAAACTAACTCTGCAAAGAGTTAAAATTGGTTAAACTTGCGAGTGATGGAAATAGAAGGAATATATTTATTTATGGTATGTTATAGGCCATATGGATTATAGGAATATCTGTGGGCGCTAAACACATTTCCATCCACCTTCAATCACCTACTTTTCTCACCAGGTTAGATGGCACAGAACTCATACATAGAGTTAAGCGCACCTTTTGTACATTATTTACATATTTCATTCTTTTTTGTTTTGCACGAGTATGTTATATTTTGTGTACAATAAATATACAAATAAAAGAAGGTCAATAAATTTACCGAAATCAAGTGTAAAAATTACCAGTCAGTAAAAAGCATTTATGGGGGGATGTATTGACCAGAATATCAGAATAGGTACGCATCGCGGAGTATCGAAATCTGTAATGTCCGAATTATATCTCCGTTGGATAGATAACTCAGAAAATAAAGATTATGTGTGGCTTCCTTATTTTCAACAAAGTACAAAATAACTAGGTATATATAATTATTTATTAGTTGATATAAATAATTTTTACTCCGCGCCTACCGAATTTTAATCCGTTTGCCATATAGTTACATGCAAATAGTTCGCAGGAGTTTTACACTCAAGAAAAAAAGAGTATTTTAGTGTTAATGAATTAAAAAAAAGTATTAACTTTTGTGTTACAAAAAAATAGAATATTATAAGAGTTCCGATTTTATAATTTTACCTTTTGAGGTCACTGGATTTAAGAACGTAAGTCACAGGCTCAATTCAATTCCCAATAAAATTCATCAATGAGCCTTTCTGATATGCATAAGTCCCTACATGAATAGTTAGCAATAAAAGGAATAAAATACGTAAAAACTTTTGGTATTTTATGTGCGTATTATATTTATATATTCCAAGTATTTTTCACGTATCAATATTTTAAGTAGATTGACAGTATGTTGGCGGACTTCATTAAACTTTATTACATTTTTTCTAGCTTTTCTTACCACGACTAACCTGGTGTCCGTTAAATGGAAATTCATTAACGTAATATTTTTTTATGTGAGAAAGTGACAAACGAGCTGGCAATTCAACTGCTGAAAAGTAACAGCCTATACATGTCCCACTGATGGGCAAAGGCCTCCTCTATACAGAGGGTATCAGGGCATAGTCCACCACGCGGCCCCACTGCGGATTGGCGGACTTCACATATTTTCGAAATACATTTTTTTTTTTGTTATTATTTCGAAAATATGCAGGTTTCCTCACGATGTTTTCCTTCACCGCGGAGCACGTGATAAGTCAGCACTTAAAGTTAAAAACTTCATTGGTGCCGGCACCGGGGATCGAACTCAGGTTGCTCGAGTATATTGAATTAAAGGCGAGCGCCCGGACACTGAGCTATCACGGCTCTTCTTATTACTGCTGTTAAGTGATAAATGCTGCTGTTAAGTGATAAATGCTGCTGTTAAGTAATAAAGTGGGTCCCGACTACCTCAATCACAGACGAAATGCGGAAGTATAACGCTTCCAATTCACGCCGAGCTTATGCGAGGTCGTGTGTCCTTACCCGGATGGACCTGCCCATTCTTGCAACAGCGAAAACTGAAGAAGGTCGCGTTGCCCTTTTTTTTGTTTACTTGGGGGCAATGGCTACGCATACCCGCCCTCGCGGGGGCAAGAGCGGGCGGTTATGTTGGGCCCCACGATGTTCCACCTAGGCGCATATCGACAGGGTCACCGGAACGCTTTCGCACACTTCCGCGGCCCTGCCAGCGCTGGCCGGAGCGGCCCTCTCCTTACACCACAGGCCGGCCCAGTGTGGGTTCCTCTTAGCTTCGCCGTGGGTGACCAAGCCACGGCTACTAGGCCCCTCCGCCACGTCAAGGCGGGAACCCGGTCGGGGGGGAAGGTTGCGTAGCCCTAAAGTAATAAGTAAAATAGAGCAATTGACATCATGTGAAACGAAATCCACCATAAAGTAATGGGCACCCTAAACTTCCGTGGGATGAAGCATCGCCAACCTGCAATACACTAGGCTGCGGTTACCACAATCATCAAAGAAAGGCAAAAGGTAAAGACAAACTAATAGACATTTCTACTTTATGCTAGCCTTATGTGATGGTGTGGTGCTCCCAGCCGGCTCATCCATACAACAACTAAAGCTCTTCCAAGCCTCTATGGAAGACGAGCACCTAGGAGATAATATATTTAGATGATAATAACTTTCTATAATAATTGAGCCGTGATAGCTCAGTGTACGAGCGCTCGCCTTTAGTTCAATATACTCGAGCAACCTGAGTTCGATCCTCGGTGCCGGAAACAATGAAGTTTTTTTACTTTAAGTGCTGACTTATCACGTGCTCCGCGGTGAAGGAAAACATCGTGAGGAAACCTGCATATTTTCGAAATAATAACAAAAAAAATGTTTCGAAGATATGTGAAGTCTGCCAATCCGCAGTGTGGCCGCGTGGTGGACTATGCCCTGATACCCTCTGTATAGACGAGGTCGTTGCCCATCAGTGGGACATGTATAGGCTGTTACATCACTTTTTTACTTTTTTTAATATCTTTCACATACCAAAGACTGCGATATGTAATATAAACTACACCTTTTACACAATAACTCGCTGAAAAGTCGATCTCGCCTATATAAGAAAGAAAAAGAATGAAACAGATTTACTTAACACAAAACAGACTAACGTACACAACACTCAATAATATGTTTAAAGAATCTGTATCAATCCTCATGGATGTAGTCGATGAGAGGTCTTTTCGTTTCCTTTCGTTTTTCGACTAACAATTATCTTCTCGCTAAACTGACGGTAGCCCGGGTTAACTATGACAATCAGACGTCTAACACCTCAGTCTGTCCCGTGACCATGAACGCTGTAAAGGGTTCGAAACGTCGGGAATTAAAATTAAAAATAAACGCGATAAATCCGTAAAATTAGTTTCATTTATAATGTGTAATCGCGTAAATACAAGAAATTAATTATCTTCTCTCTTTTCTAGATTATGTACATGTTCCGCTTGCTGCAGAAGACTTAGACCCGTGGAATCCCCTAAACAAATTTTTCGAAAGAATTGTTTTCCTCTAGTTTGGTTTCTTTCTCGCCCAAGGGTCAAGTATAATTTACCATTAAACAACTTGTTATTTAATGGTAAGTTATACTTGGCACCATGTCACTATGGCTAGGTTTTGAATAACTTATAATCTACTTAATATTTCTCAATATTAAGTAGATTATTAGTCTGTTTATGGCTCATATTAGTTCTATTAAGTTTATATAAGTGTTACTTACAATAATAGTGCATTATATGTAACAACTACAAAGAATAATCACCACCTGCCAGCTCATCACTAGCACTACACTTTTAATTAAACAATCACAAAACATCTTGCATCAATATGTCAAATTTGTCAGAGATAATCAACACCCAAAACAAGCTTGAAGAAAGTATCTCGAAGAGATTTGATGATCTCCAAGCTCAAATCACTAATGCCGGGTCCTCAAAAGATACGGTAGCGAAGGTTGCTGAAGAGCTCCGGAACTTCAGGGAGCTAATTTTTGGCATTCTCAGTCTTCTTCGCCAACAAATAAGGGAGTGTGCCAAGCAAGTGGATGACATTGACACAAGGAGTCGCAGGAAAGCCCTTATTGTAACAGGTTTACCTGAGAAGAACAATGAAGATTGCACTCAATTACTTATCGAGGTGTTCAATAAAAAGTTGGGGCTCAACGACATGTCCAAGTCATCCTTCAAGGTGTGTCATCGACTAGGTGCACCCAGTAAAGAGCACCACCGACCCGTCTTGGTCAGGTTCACCAGCATGGACTCTAGAATGTTTGTTTGGAAGGCTAAAACAAAGCTGAAGGGCTCCCCAATAGCCCTGAAGGAGTTCTTGACGAGAGTAAGGCAAGCAGTCTTCACCAAAGCTCGTCTTCATTTCGGAATGCGCTCTGTCTGGACACAGAGTGGTGTTATATTCATTAAAACTGCTTGCGGGAGCAACTATAAAGTCACCACAGAAGAAGAGCTGGTCCCTCTCATCGTCAAGTACCCGAAGTCACTGGGCAAGTCTTCTTCAAAGGATAACAACTCGGGTAGTAGATCTTAAAAAAAAAAAAAAGAAAAAAGTTTTTACCACAAAGTTAGTTTCTTTCTCCTTTTTTTTTTTTTGCTCTTATTATGTTTACGTTTATTCCTTGTACTTAGGACATTAGTATTATAACTTTAATTATTTACGTAAACTTACCTATTCTAACTTAATATTGTTTTTAGTGCGACATATTAGACACTTAGGTTCATTTATTTCATGTGTAGCTTGGTA